TCAGTAGATGATTCAGTTGTTTCTTGAACAATATCCGAATTCTTGTTTGTTGCAAGTGCTTTTACCAATGCTTTATTCTTTTGATCATTCTAGAAATATACGATGAAAATAGTTAAAGATGAATAAACAAGAAAAAAAATTACCAATGATTGTTTTACATTAACCCGTTGATTACATAATGTCGTTTTCGAACAATTTCGAAGATGAAATAAAATCAATAATGTAGCAGCAAATCGAGATTCATTCATGTTGGATAACATGTGTGAATAAGATTTTATCCAAGAATTAATTTGTTCACATGCACTACTGTTAATATTTCGTAATGAATCGTGTAAATTCAAATTTAAATGTTCATGACAATATTTCTAAATAAAATATAAAAAACGCACGACATAAAGTCATATACACTTTCGAGAATAATTTATTACTTCTTTATGATTGGACAAATGAAATCTGTCCACGAAAAACTGAACTTGTTTCAAAATTTTCAATCCAATAGTATCATTATGTTCATTCGTTTTTGATTCATTTTCAAAATTTGAACGTATGTATTTCACCAATAGACAACCCGCATCATAAATGACGATTCTTGTCAACCGCGGAGCAAGTGTATATAAATTCGATAAGGCTTGTAAAACCTGCTTGCGTGATTCAGATCTTAAAATTTCTTCAAACCCAATCACAACTTGACAGTTTGTTGCAATAACTAATATACCACACGCACGTATAGAGGCATCAATAAGAATATCTCCTTTGTTTACATTACAGGACAACTACGATAAGAAACATTAATTTTCATTTAACAAAAACTTATTAACCAAAAGAAAAATTCATTATCTACACAGGAACTTTAAGAACAATATGATTAAGATCAATGTCAGAAAACGATAGCTTTATTCAATTTTTATGTATTTTATTTTCTTCTAACCATCAAAAAATAGGATTGTGTTCGGCATGAAAAAAATGTAAGAGGATGTTACAATTCAAAAATCAAATTTAAATAGACAAAGAAATATTAGTTCTACACTTAGGTTTGATGAGTTATTCCCTTCACTTTGTCAATCACATTGTATAATTTATTCCTTCGGAAAAAGAAACTTTTCTTTATAAATTATTAATTCTATAACAATCATGAAAAATTCTTTGCTCTATTTAGTGTTGATCTGTATTATCAAATATCGCAAGAAACATTTTTTTATTTTTCCTTTACTCATTTTAATTTTTAATTTGAAAGGCATGTTTTTTTTCTCACTCACCGTTCCCATATCATTTATGTATTGTTTCTGTAATTTTTTTAATTTTCGTCTTGTATTTTCTTCTTCTTTTTTAGTATGTCGTCGTGCCGATGGCATTATTATACCTTGAGATTGACATTCACTGCAAATTGATCTATTGACTGCTGGTGTATGGCTACAACCGATCAGTAATTGTTTAAATATTGGATTAAAATGTGTTGGTAATTGTAATGGAACGTTTGCATTGGCACACAATCTTCGTCTTATTTTCATGTGCCCATCGCAAATAATTGCTGCACAACATTCGTTATTGTCATTACCATCATCACCTTGAGGTTTTAATTTACAAGGATAAAATATACTGTGTGAGGACCAAAACTCTACGAACACTTTATAAAAATAATCATAATTTGACATGATAAATCTATCCAACTCCGTCCATATATTCCGAGGCAAGAATGCACTACATTGATTTTTAAATGGTTGTCCAATTGCCATAAACAGCTGATATTCAATCAATGCATATGTAATGAAGACACGTTCAAATAATCTTCTATCCATTTTATTACGAAAATCACCATTCAATTGATTAAAAGCGCGAGTGAACGTATCAAATGCCACATGGCCAGCTCTAAATATAAAGTATTTAATCATTTTATAAGATTTAGTATGTAAAACCATTTTTAGCATAAGCTTTTTTTGTGGAAAGCTCGATATCTACATTTTCTCAGTGACTAGTTTGAAAGATTGTACCAAATATCAATAGTTAAAGTACCGTTACGCCGGATAAACTCATGAAACGTTTCTCCGCATCTTTCATAAACCTACGTTCTTCCGTTTATGCAATACTTCAACTTGTTTCTTTGTGTAACAAACGATCAAATTTGTTGTGTTCATCTTACTGGCAATCTGTAATGATTTAACTCACGTCTACAAGACAATCAATTGTGTTTTGAAGTCCTGCGTATATCACTATTTCTCTAATAAGAACCACCTACAACTGACAGTTAGAATTGAATTCTATTCATATGTATTATTATTTCCGATGTAGCAATGATCTCACGCTTGTAAGCCAGTGTTATATATTGGGTTGGCAAGAAAGTTTTGCGTCCTTTTTAGCGGTAAGACAATAAAAAAGACGCAAAACTTTCTTGCCAACCCAATATATTTTCAATTGAATTATATACCAATTAATAGAGCTTAACTTCCTCTACAAAACTATGCATATGACATTTCTCTTTAACCGCAATATATTGAGCTGGCAAGAAAGTTTTGAGTCTTTTTTTTATCATCTTACCCCTAAAAAAAGACGCAACACTTTCTTGCCAACTCAATACAATAAATTTCTAATGTTTTTAAATGTCTGACGCTCGATCCTGTTAATTTTCATGTATTTAATTTTATCAAATTCTGAGTAAAGCTCAAAACATCTTCATGGATAATTTGTATTTTCTTTCGATGCATGAGAAAAAGATTTTTGTCTAAACAGTTGTCTTTTTGCTTAAGACAAAATATGAACAAAAAGTAAATGCTCATTATTTTCATTCGAATTAAAAAAGTTTAACTTCCTAAGTAGCAATTAAATGATTTAAAATCCGTAAGATTTTTATTATTTGATTCTCTTGCAAGAAAATTTTTTTGCAAACTCACAGAATTTCAATCATCCATAGGTTTCCCATTTCTTTCATCAAAATGAAATAGTTAATATTATATGTTTGTCTAAAGTGAGCTTGACTAGTCAACTGATTACATTTTCTAACAATATTACCAGAAATACTTTACATCTACTGTTTCATAAAGTCTATGTATGTAAATACATAATAGTAGTCATTAAATTACTTACGCTAACAAAGATGAATATTGTTTAAAAATTATTCTGTCAAATGCTGTTTGTCCACCAAGGTATACATATGGTCCGTATTCAAAATAATCACTTATTGTAAATGAATATGAATGATCATCACAAAGATTAGTAATGAAGTTCGGATAGATTTCCAAATAACACTGTTTCGATTTACATACATAGCTTACAACGGTTGCTGATTTTGAAGTTCCATTAACTAAATAAAGGGTAACAACGTGATATTTTGCTGCAGCAGATGAAAGTAAAGTGCCACATCTAATTAAGTATTAAAAAAGATAATCTCACATTTCATGTCAATAAGCATACATACTGTGGACATTGATTTGATTTAGGTACTAAAATAAATGGTAAACAGAAAGGAGTCGACATTGGATATTGAAATAAATTATTAATATTAGACGAATATTTCATCAGTTCTTCTTCAATATTTTTTCCATGCTTTAACATATTACTTCCATCATCAGATTTCTGTTTTATCGTGGCCAGCATATCGAACATTCGATGCGGCTCTATGTGTACATGAAAAGTTTGGTGAACAATTTTAGTAATATGTTCCAATCGATTATTTAAACATTCTGGTAATATTGTGTCGATTGATAACGCAAAATCCAGCATTGGTAATGAAAATGGTGGATCTGGTACAAAGCCTGAAAACATATATGAAGTCCCTGAACCCTTACCAATGCCGCCCATGCGTTAAAAAAAATCTAAAAAAAAGTCACTCTATTCTTGACAATAAGATAAGTCTGTTCGCCATACATGACTCCATACTTTTCTACAAGCTTCACAATTTAAAATAAAGCATAAATTTATTTTGTTCTCTAACTTTTCGAAAGCTATTTATTTTTTTATTTTTCATGACAAAGTAACACTTATAATATATAAAAACAACTAACTAGTCAATAATACCAATCAAGAATATGAATAATGGTCCATCAAGATCAACGAAAATACAATACCTACAGGAATAAAATTCTCTTTTCAAAATAAATAATCAAGTGAAAAAAAAGGTACAAAGCAGTTGGTTACATGTTACAAAAAAAAAACAGAGCATAATCAGAGAAGATCATTCAAACACAATATACATCGATACAATAGATTTTATTATAGAAACAGTCAAGTCGTTTTATTTCTTTGAACTGTTTTCTTTTTCTTTTTTGTTGTATGAATTTCATCTTCATTTCTTTCAGATGAATAAAAACGTTTGGTTTTTGTACGTGTTCGATCACTTTGAGGAATATCAGCTGCAAGTATTTGATCGATTTGTTTCATAGAATTATTTGTATCCTCATTATTCTCAGTACTATTCAATGAATCATTATGATTATTTTCAGTATTGAACTCCAATGTATCATTTTGTTCAAGATTATCATCAATATTCGAATTTCGAAGGATTTTAGAAGGAGGTCGAGGTAGAAGGAAGTCAATCGACGTTTGTGATGATGATGATAATTCAGTAGAATCGAATACAAGAGAAGATACGAATTTATTTGAATTTGATGTAGTAGGTGGTGATACAATAGACGAAATTTCCTGTTGTTGTCCAACTTCCAATTGTACATTATTTTCAGCAAAATCTTGAGTCGGTGTTGATGTGACGAAATGATCATCATTATTTGTAATATTACTATGAATTAAATCTTGTGAAGATTCATTTGATATATTTAATAAATCATGATTCGTTTTAGATAATGTTGAAGATTTTTCATATTCTTAAATTATTCTAGAAAAAACTCAGATAAATGAATGCTACAATGAATAAATATAAAGGTTTTCAATGAATTACTTTTTATAATTCTCTTTGTTCAAGATTTGCTGCACCTTGTCCGATAAACTGGCTGATGAAGATGGTAATAATATATTTTGACAAGATGCTTGATATAGAGTCCAAGGCATTTTTATCGGATCCAATAGATCTGTTACAAATTTATTTACTGTGTTCAATGTAATTGATTCTGGTAATACTTTAACATAAACTGTACAGCTGTTTCTACCAGATTGAAGACCGCCTTCAAACTTTAACAGGATTTCCATCTTGACCAGCTTCTCAAGCGCCGGACCCACATTCTTATATTGATGTTTTAATTTCGAAAAAGTTTTTACAAGCTAAATAAAAGAGATAAACGATGAATATTTTTACCATTTCTTGAGATTGAACAAAAGAGCATCAAAATTACTTGAGAAAATGTGAAGCAAATACTTGGAAATTTTATAATGGTTTGAAACATATTTAACATAGGAGGATCAATTTGTAATTCAGTATCATTTCCTTGTGTTGATGGAAGTTGAACAACAGCTGCATTGCTATTACTAATTGAAGAAGGTGGAATCCATGGAATTTCAAGAATAGGACCGGATCGATTTGCAGTAAGATCAAATAGATTGAAAAATTTCAATAAGATTGTTTTTGTTGCATAAATTGCAGCTTCTACTTGGCTACCTAATATGTTCATAAAATCAAGAAAAACTACTTTAAAAATGAAATAGAATCAATCTATTAGTTTAATCTATCTCAATAAACGTACATTTATTTTTCTTTATCTGATTTATTCATGTCTAAATAATAATTGTAACACTCACATGAGACATAATGTTCTCTCTCCTTATTTACTGTATAATGACTGTGCACTCATGTGAGACATTTATGATATGGGGAGAAATATTTACATACAAAATAATAAATTTAACAAATGATTTGTAAATGCAGCTCTTAATAATTAAAATATAAAGAAAAAGTTCAGCTTGATAATGTTAACATTACAAACTTGGCTCAGAGCAAAGTCACAAATGCTACTAACAGCTTTTCAAGGTGCTCATCGTGCAACATTTCTACAAATATTTTTTTCCACTCACGTTAAACAGACAATCAGAAAAGTATTTCTGAAAACTTTGTGTTACGCACGGCTCATTAAAATAAAAAATTAATATTGACGTAATACAACGTATTTATATACTGTTCTCTATGGCATTAAGAATTTACTCCTTTTGTGAAGTACAAACTGCTAAAAAAATAAGGTCATATACTCAGAAAAACAAATAGATTGAGAATAAGAATCGCACACATTACTTAATAAAAATATGATAGTCTTTCTAATGTTGTACTTATATTTGAATAATTATTCATTACTTACTCGATATGGTAATTGAAGTACTTGAATCCGGTGGATATCTTGCATGAAAGAAATCAGCCATTTGGCAATATGTATCAAATGAAACAGGTCCATTTGGATTAGGTAATTGTTTTAAATGAATAAATTCACGTAAAAGTGTATATGCTAAATCAATATGTGTTAATTGTGCTGCAAGACGCGCAGTTAATTCACTGGTTTTTGCAAACCTTGAAGATGTCCATTTGTCTACGTTTTTCCATCGTGCACCTGAAAAAAAAAGAATTAATTTAAATATCTATTTTTTTATCAAGACAGACATTTGCGACTAGAAGCGTCAAGTTCGCTATCTTATAATAGTGCATCAATCAATAAAAATTGAAATACGCTTTCTTTAGGATCATAACATAACAGTATTGCTGTTAACATTAATTCAATACTAATGCTAAGCCGACACAGTTACTTTGAACTACACAATTAATTCTATTTATTATTATTATCTCAAAAGTGAACTTAGATCAATTACTTAACAGCATTCACCCATATAATTTTTTTTTATAACCATCTAGAGAAGTTATACTGTATATTTTGGATGATGAAACAGCCATAAAATTTAATATATTTCAAAGTTATTGATTTCGAACAACACTTTAATAGAGTAAATGCAATGAAAAAGAGTTTTTATCAAAGTCATGGAATTAAATTGATAAAAATTTGAATTTTGATCAATGAATTTGAAAACCATTAATGCTTAAAATCTGTTGCATTACTATATTGCAATTTTTTAAAAGTCTGTACACATAGTCTTCTTGGAGATAGCGAAAGAATCGCATGGATAAAGACAGACATACAGAAATACTAGAGAGAATAAGGCAACACTGCACGTTTTTTACCCTCAATCAAGGAACAAGACACTAATTATTTCTTTAGTATGCCAGTGCTGATAATAAATTATCTGATCTGCTAGAACATACCTGATGCTACACACATATCTTGCCAACCTTGTAGGAGCTCATCAGCTGAACGACTACCCGAAGTATCAAATATATACGTTTGATTTGTTAAAAGTGACGATGCAAGCAAAAACATTTCCAATCCAATAGCATCAGTTGGCATAAACTTGTTCTTATAATCAGAATTGAATTTTGGTGGTGAATCAATAACGTCGAAAATGGTTCTCATGACCAGAGCATCAGGCATAACACTGGTTTTTAATTTAGATCGTAAAATGTCCATAACGGGTACCTTCAACAAAATAATTTTAATAAAAAATAATGAATGTGGTAAGAGAAAGTGCCAGCTAGTGGTAGGTTATTTTTGTGTACTCAAAAAGTGAGTACACTCTAGAATCGGTCAGTATGTCCGTCCGGCCGTCCGTCCGTCCGGCCGGCCGGCCGTTAACACGATAACTTTTGAAAGGAGAGTCCAATCGCGATGAAATTTTCTACACAGTTCAGTCTTAACAATGTCTCGGTCGAGTTCGAAGATGAGAAGGATTGGCCGAGCTCTTCCTGAGTTATTGCAAAAATACTCATTTTTCCTTGCACCTTCCCTATGAAAAGATCGACCCATCCCCACTTTCGTAAAAGACTTTTCCTATCATAGTCAACTAAAACCCCAACTATTATATACCATTCGATAGAGAATTTCACGAGCTACAAAGTGGTATATAAAACATAAGGAAACAAGAAAGCCAACTCAGCTATTGCAAAGATAATTAATCGGAATTCGGTTCTGTTTTTGTCACGCTCTAATTGATCCACAAATAGAGCTCTATCTTTCGATCACAGAGATGATAGTTCGAGGTTTTCTGGGGTGGAGAACTCGAATCTATGCTCTATTCGCCTCGAAATTCCATTGGTTGAACAGTAACCAATAGAAATCAAGTTATAGGAAAAACGACTTTCTTATGGTAAATCAAGGTGAAGAGTTCAAATCTGAGCTGTATTCATCCCCAAATCCTATTGGTTGAGCAGTAGCCAATAGAAATCAAGTGTTTATAGATAAGGTTTGCCAGAATAATTTTTATATCCCCATATTCTAGAACGACTCATCTGTCTCATTCACTTTTTGAAGTACACATAACTCTCGGATTTAAATCCGAAGTTTCCGCATTTATCTCAATTTAGATTCAACCTGAAAGTTTTTTTCTAATGCAAAAATGTAGAGATTTTCTTGGAGCAACAATTAGTATATTCTTTTCGAAATGCGAATTTATTGCTCGTTTGTAGTGTGTAAATTACTCGATGTTATAAAAGCAAAACGTTATCAGCATTCCGTCGAAATAAAATGTCATTTCTATCTGTTAAACAATTTCCCAAATGCTTTCCAAGCATACTACTTAAAGAAGAGAAGATTAGTTGTTTTTTAGGCATGACATCAAACTTTATATGAACGTTCCTTATTGAAAGCTCTACGGGCGAAATCTATATGATCATTCATTTTGGACGCTTTTTTAGAGAAAACTTCAAAAGAAAAGTCCGATTATGAGGACCATGAATGTGTTTTTTTATATTTTGTAACTTTAAAAGCAGAAGCAACTCACCATATTCAATCTAACACATTACTAGAAACATCACAAATTCAATATTTTTTAAATTATGAAAGAAAATTTTTAAACTCGATTAAACTTGTTAAAAGTTGATTTTTAAATATCTTGATTTTGAACTTGAGCAGTTTATATTCAGAAGCATCTGATAAATTTAGATGCTATGCACCTTACTAGTTAAGCCTAGCTTCAGAAAATAGACTATCAGAAGCCGACAATTTCTTTCGCTGCAACCACATATTGCCTTTTCTCGTACTTACCCCATTACTGGCGGCTAAGAAAGATACTTGAGGATTTTTCAGATGACCAGAATCACTAACTTTTGCTTTTTGATAAAAAGGTATGCCAGTATGAAATGATTTTAATACACTCGCAGCACTTGAACTAATGAAAGAAAGATAAAGGTATTTCTTTTACAATAATGCACTACTTCTTAAGAGCACAAACATTGCCTATGAAAATACACAATTCACGCAGTAAATGTTTTTTCAGTGAATGTGACATTCAGCGTCTGACTCCTATAGAAGTAAGAAAAAATTATAATTACTTTAAATTATTTGGTTTTGATTCTGTTCCAAATAGACCAAGTTTTTGATGATCACCATCGAATTCGTCGATCAATACTAAAACATTACCAGCTTTATCTAAATATTTTGTTAAACCAGGTCCAGTAATCTTAATAAATGTATAAATAGTATGGTTAATATTTCTAATTCCAAAAAACAAAAATTAAACATAATACGTACTTCATTTAATACTGCATGTCGATAACCACTACTATTCTTCGACGCACCAACTCCACCAACACCACCTTTTTCACGTTTCAAATCATATTCACGTTTAAGGTGTTGCATCTCCATGATTTTCGAAAATATCAATGATTTTCCAGTACCTTAAGTAAACAGAAAAACTATCCCATCTTTTTAAAAACCTTTCTCTCGTTGGACAAAAATTTGCTGGGTTCTTTTTCACCGTCTCATAGAATACCTAGGACAGCATGGCAGTTATTTTTCAAATCTTATATCGTCGAAAGTCAACCTGCAAACAAACACTACTAGAGCTGGCATGTAACAGATTCAAAAGAATGCTACGAGTCTGTCTTCCACTGAGTCAGATTTACGATATATTTTTGCAGGATACGCTAATTCGGCCCATCAACTCATCAAACAATGCAAAAAAAAACACAATGACTAGGGCAGGTTTATATTCATGATTGAAAAAACCTTAAACCTTCCTCAGAGAATGTTTACGAACAGCGGATTAAATGGCAAATTACATGCAAAAAAAATAATCCGTGGCGCTCTCCAAAACCACTAACATTGCACAATTAACGTGGCTTTTGTCTTAAAAATAACAACTTTTTAACAGTTCATATAAAAGATTTTGCATTTTACATGTATTAAATAAAATAGTTTACATACCCATCGTTGTGATTAAAAGTGTAAATTCTCCAATTGATTTAGCTCTTTGTGGTACATTGGCCAACAGTACTTTCCCTTCATCTTCATGGAATGCAGCACAAGCACGAAGACAAACCGACAATGATTGTACGTCAATCATCAGATTATTCGATATCATATTTAATGTTTGAACAACTGAATCACCATGTACTTTTTCAAGGTTATAATGAAGACTACCAGCATGGTCCATGTTCCTTGAGAACAGTTGATCAGTTCCTGTAAACATTATTTCTTTTTTGAACGAATTCCAAGCAGAAACAAAATATATCTATTTCATATTCAATTCAAAATGGTTGTTTTTCAATGAATTTCTTAACCGACCAACTTTTATATGAACACACTCTTATTAATCAACCAACCAGAGAACAGTCCAAATATAAATAGTCCTTCCTTGAAAACAAATGATAACACTAAATCCAGTGTAAATAGACAACTATTGTTGATTAGGTTAAAATCATCATTCCCAAAAGATTTCTAAAAGATAATGTTGTAACGCAAATTAAGACCTTCGATAGATATCGTTAATGTACAACATTAATCATATACAAGTCGCTTCAATATGACGACAAATTTCACGCTTGGAGCAATCTCCAAACTACCACTAAACATCACGATGAGACGGAGTGATCACATTAAGTCATAATCTGATCATCATGCCTAACTCGCTACCCAAATTGTTTGAATTTTCGCGATATCGCAATCCAAGAGTTCCAAGAGTTCCCAAGAGTTCCAACAATTCCAAGAGTCCCAAGAATTCCAAGAATTCCAAGAGTTCCAAGAATTCCAAGAGTTCCTAGAATTCCAAGGGTTCCCAGGATTCCAAGAGTTCCAAGAATTCCAAGAGTT